TGAAAGCCAGCAGCTCGGGGGCCACAGGTTCTGAAAGCCAGCAGCTCAGGGGCCGCACGTCCCGCCATTAAAGTCACTACGTAAATAAACCAACGTGTACAAAGATCTTTCACGTTTTAACGTTGTTTATTTTATTACACTGAAACATGCATGCAATAAACAGAACCCAGAACCAAAAAGGTAACAGTACATATGAAGTGGTTCAGACTGAAGTCGGCGGGCCACCAGTTCAATAGCTCTGGTTTAGATGTTAGCGTTTGTGTGAAGCACCGTAACGTTTTGAGGTTGGAGGCTTTGTAGCTGATGAAATCCAGTTTAGAGGAGGCTCTGGTCTGAGCTGACCTGCAGCCGTGGCACAGACTGTCCCCTTAAAATAACTTGTTGTCAGAGTTTCACCGCAGCTCCTGCTAAAACTAACATTTAAACTTTTACATTAAAAGGTGATTTTGTTAGTAAATTTGTAGAATGCAGGTCAGATGTGACCCCTGGGGGCCACAAAAGTGCTAAAGTTTGCTGACAGGCAAAGAACTGATATCAATGTAAACGTTTATGAGAAAACATTTGCATGAACTGCGATGTCTTTTTAAAGAGAGGAGTTGTTTTAAGACGACAGCACGAAGTTTCGGTGTTTCAGCCATTAGCTTGTCAGTTCTGTCTGGCAAACTCTTTCTCCAAGCTGATGTTCAAAAGGTATCTGCAACATGTAAGATATTTACTGTCAAACAGGAACGTGTGTTAGTTGTCAGGCATAATGAGGATATTTCTGTCTGTGATTGTTTTCTCTTGTGGATTAGCAACGTGGAGGAGGCTGAATACGAACCAGTTCTCTACAGAAAGGTCTTTGTGGACGGTGAAGACTTTAATGACTCTGCCGAGAGGACAGGAAGCAGAGAGGAGGAGGGGGCTGGGGACGAGGCCTCGTTGAACCAGGAGGAAGAAGAGGCTGCCGGTGGTCATCACACAGAAGACGGTTACCATGAGGGTGATGCCCACTGTTCTGATGAAAGTTACTCAGACGATCATGAGAGTTACTCTGAGGACAGCGAGCATGAAGCCGTCAGTGCACAGGAAGCAGGAGAGTGATGCTGTCAGCCATCAGCACGTATGAGGCAGGAATACTCCTGCAGCTGTAGAAGACTGGACACAGCAGGGCTGAAGAATAATGCTTTTAGCTAGTGCAGTTTTACAGCTGCTTTGTCTAAACTGTCAGTTTATAGAGTTTGAGAATGCAAAGTCTGGTGGCCATCGTGTCATGTTATTGGTGACATGGAAGGGCAATGCTGCTCACTTGTTCTTTTTATTTTTGGAAATGATGACAATCATTTGCCCACAATAATGTAAACTTGGAAGTTACATATCTGTAATAGTTGTACATTTTTTCACAGTACTTCTTGTCAAAGTAAAAAAGACTTGTCTTACTAAAAGTAATAATAACTGATGTGTTCATTTCAAGCATCCCAGGACTCATAATACTCTAATAAACCAAAACAGATTCACACTGTATGACTCAAATACAACGAGACTGGGACTCTTCTTACCTTAGTAGGGAATCTTTTCTCAAAAATAGCAGAATATGTCTGATCACTAAATTAGGCGTTAAAGGTAAGAAAACCTAACCTACTCACACAACTAGGTTTTGTTGCTACAGTTCAGAGCTCTTATGGCCCAGGGACTAAAACTCTTCTCATCCTAGCTTTGAAGCAGCTGGCCCACCTGCCTGCTGACAGAAGGTTAACACCTTAGGAGTTCCACAGGAGGCTCTATTCTCAAATCTAGGTCAAGGTGTTCTTAAACCCTGTCCAGGTGGACGGGGTCAGAGACAATTTACCACGCCCTGATGAGACACAGAAAGCTGGTACAGTGTCATTCAGTGAAGGCAGGAGGCAACCAACAACTTGTAAAGCTTGGCTCATCACTCTGCTCCTGCTAGCTATACAGGATGGTAATCATAGAGGGGTACAGGATGGTAATCATAGAGGGGTACAGGATGGTAATCATGCAGGGGTACAGGATGGTAATCATGCAGGGGTACAGGATGGTAATCATACAGGGGTACAGGATGGTAATCATGCAGGGGTACAGGATGGTAATCATACAGGGGTACAGGATGGTAATCGTGCAGAGGTACAGGATGGTAATCATACAGGGGTACAGGATGGTAATCATAGAGGGGTACAGGATGGTAATCATGCAGGGGTACAGGATGGTAATCGTGCAGGGATACAGGATGGTAATCATAGAGGGGTACAGGATGGTAATCATGCAGGGGTACAGGATGGTAATTGTGCAGAGGTACAGGATGGTAATCATAGAGGGGTACAGGATGGTAATCATGCAGGGGTACAGGATGGTAATTGTGCAGGGGTACAGGATGGTAATCGTGCAGAGGTACAGGATGGTAATCATAGAGGGGTACAGGATAGTAATAATACAGGGGTACAGGATGGTAATCATGCAGGGGTACAGGATGGTAATCATGCAGGGGTACAGGATGGTAATCATAGAGGGGTTGTATTATGAAATTCTTTATCAAAGGGTTCGTGAACGATCGGCACCAGATATTCAGACAAGAGGAAAAATAAAACACAGAGACTGTTACTGCCAGGAATAATATTGTCATTTATTAACCTGCCACAGAAAACAGCCAAGCAAAGTCATGTACAGTTGGTACACTCTTAACACACAAATTGATATGAGTATCTCTCACCGTGACAAATGATCGGGAAGCCTTTCGATCCAAATGACAGAACTCACATCAACAACTGCATGGCAACGCGCGCTGGTCCACACAAGACTTCCAAAATTCCCTTGCCTGTCACACCTCCTTTATACCTTTTCCCTGACCGGATCGCGTGAGAGCAGTGAAAAACAAGTTTGATGGTTGCCAGGAGGACAGATTTAATTAAAATCTGTTTTTCCATCATCAAAGCAGTCTGTGCAACAGAGCGATGGCTTCATAAAAACATGTCCTTCAAAACCTGGGTCACCGTAACCTTTAAGATGGGCCAGGTCTTCTGGTTAGAGCATCCCCCAGAGGACTTTAATTACTCCAAAACACATCTGCAGCACAGGCCTGACTTTGGGCAGATAAGCTGCATCAAAAGTGAGTATAAGTATTAATTGACATAAAAGCATCAAAA